TGAGCCTCAGTGTGTCAATGTGTCAGTGTGTCAGTGTGCCTCAGTGTGTCAGTGAGCCTCAGTGTGTCAATGTGTCAGTGTGTCAGTGTGAGTCAATGTGTCAGTGAGCCTCAGCGTGTCAATGTGTCAGTGTGTCAGTGTGCCTCAGTGAGCCTCAGAATCAGAGTCTCAGTGCAGTGGGCCCTGTGGCCTGTGGGTGGCGCTCTGGTACCATCTCCTCCTTGATGCGTTCATTGATCTTGGCTGTGGCCTCCTCGTGAGCGCGGAACAGGCTGATGACACTCGTGCGATCCGGGTCCAGGATGTTCCCGTCCTCATCTCGCACGACCAGGTCCAGGTCCAGGATCCTGGTGGACAGAGAGAGTCGGGAACAACAGGAATCACCTCACCTGCTGCACTGCTGAGACAGAGGAAGAGGTAGAGAGGAACAGAGAAACAGGGGAACAGAGGAGGGAGACAGGAGTTTTGGGGTGAGACAGTAGAGTGGGAGTGAGACAGGAGTTTTGGGGTGAGACAGTAGAGTGGGGTGAGACAGTAGAGTGGGTTGTGACAGGAGTGAGGGAGTGAGACAGTAGAGGGGCTGTGAGACAGGAGTGTGGGGGTGAGACAGGAGCGGAGCATACTTGTTGCCGTAGTCGATCTTGGAGGTGACCTTCTGCTTGAGCTCCTTGAACTCGTCCTTGGGCAGCGTGCCGGACAGCAGCTGGGAGCGCCACTCCACCAGTTCCCATAGCAACCGCCGCACCTGCTCCACCTTCTCCTTCTTATTGGCCTGGGGAGGCATGGAGACAGGGGTCAAGGGTCAGGGGTTAGAGGTCAGACATCGGTCCATACCGCTGTCGCTTCCTGTCTGTCTGTCACCATCACAGCTGAGGTGCCAGGAAGTTGATGAAGTCCCTGATGAGAATCCGCGCAGACAGTGCTCTCTCATTGCAAGCAGAAGCTGCTTTATCACTTGGCGATGATGCAGGCCACTACTGAGATGTCCAGACGGGGAGAGAAACCCTTACCACATACAGCTGTTTCCAGATGCTGCCCCATTCACGCAGGGTGGTGGTCACCTCCTGGACCAGGGGCATCTCTGCAGAGGTTACAACCTCCTGGCCCCTACAGGCGGAGAAGAGCTTTAGGGTACAGCAAGAGCATTGCCCACCAAGCCAAACAACAGGGATAAGGGTGAGGGGTTAAAGGGTAAAGGTTACAGGATAAAGGGCAGAGTCCAGGCTGGATTTTAGTTGTGTTTTTAGTTCGGATGTGTCAGGGGGTGCGGGGGGGCTTATTTACTGGCAGGTTACCAGTTACTATACACTGAAAAGTATGTAATAGCCATCCTGTCACTCTGGACACATGATTAAGTCACGACCCGTGCAGCCCCAGGCTGTGTTTCTCGATGCTCACCCCCGCTTCTCAATGATCACCTCCTTCAGGTGGATGTAGCTGGCAGGGAACACACCCTGTGGAGAGAGAGGACAGGGTTACCCAA